TTCTGGCACAGTTCTGTGTGCAGCGCTGAGGGGCCTGGGCAGAGCAATGGAAGGGGCAGGACTGGAGGAGCAGGTGGTGCAACGGCTCAGTGCTGAGGGGCATGGGCAGGGCTGGGGGGGCAGGAGGTGCAGTGGCTCAGGGCTGAGGGGCACGGGGGGGAGGGGCTGTGGAGGCAGCGGTAGGTCTAGAATGAGGCTTTCTTTTAAATGTGTAAAACACCCTCATCCAACAGACTCCAAGCGCACACAGTGTGCAAAGTGTTACTGAGGACGACAAACTATAAATGAGCTCTCACCTAGCACAAAACCTAGCTGTCCCTCCCCACCCCACCACACGCACACAAGCAAAAGCCTGAGCGAATACACAGCCTTGAAGTTTAGCAGACTCTGGCTGTGGGCCAGCATGGGAAGTGAATACCAGAGGCCAGGGCCTGAGCGAACACGAGGCCTCCAATGCCTGGATCTGTAAATCCAGGGACTCGTCCCAGTCCTGACTACTCACAGGATCTCGGGAGTTGCAGCCTGAGATTGAGGGGCACCCAGGTCTAGCATTGCAGGGGGAAGGCCTGCTTGGTAGCAGTGTCCATGCCGCCTGGCTCCTCTCCAGGAGCACTAGGTTCGATGGCAGAGCTTTAAAAACAAACAAGGAAGCTTGAGTGGCTGGTTCCATTTGTGTGGGAGCCAGCAAGTGCCTTGCTGTTCCAAAGAGAGAGACAGTGAGCGGGGAGACGGGCTTGGGGATTGGCTGGCGTTACGGTTCGCTGATCCCTGACCCTGGGCTGACTTCTGGCAGGTGGTAGCCGTAGTCTGATGGGAGTGGATTGCCATTTAAACGGTCAGGGTTTTGTAATCTTCCTCTTGTACGTGCTGAGTCAGAGTTCCTCTTTCACAGTGGAATTGGGACAAAAATAAAGGGAGTGTGTGTGTGTGTGTGTGTGTGTGTGTGTAAAAGGTGCACTTCCCTGCCCACTGCTGGTAATGGCAGTGCAGGTTTTTGCTGAAGCCTGACTTCCCAGCAATACTGACTTCTGCCAGCACCTTTCACATTGCTAATAAGTCACTGGCTGCAGCTGAGGAGATGAATGCATGATGTACACTCAATTCCCTGGGAAAATTAATGAGCCTTTTTGAAGTATCATCCCCAGCTCAGGAGCACAGAGGAGATGGGGGGGCTGTGGGGTTGGGCCCTGCTTCCTTGCTGTTGCTCCTCAAACAAGGCTTCAAGTAGCCAATATAGCAATAGGAGCTTATTAGCTTAGGTGGCTAGCACAGGGGTTCTTAGACTTTTGTACTGGTGACCCCTTTCACATACCAAGTCTGAGTGTGATCCCCCGTTATACATTAAAAACACTTTTATATATTTAACACTATTATAAATGCTGGAGGTGAAGCGGGCTTTGGGGTGGATGCTGACAGCTTGCGACCCCCCATGTAATAACCACGTGACCCCCGAGGGGTCCCGATCACCAGTTTGAGAACCCCTGGGCTAGCAGGTAATGTAGGTGCCTTGCCCTCTGACGTGTGAACCTGTTGCAGAAGGCTGTAAGTGTGAAGTGCCAATTCTGAAGATGGTGGCATATAGCCAAAAAGCTTGCTTAAAAAAAAAATTGTTAGTGCTGCCTAGTGATTAGTGCAGGGGTTGGGAGTCAGGACTCCTGGGTTCTACTCCCGCCTGTGCTGTTAATATTAACAACAGAGTCTCTGATTTTAACCAAGTCATTTAGGCTAAGATTTTCAAACTTGACTAGTGATTTTGGGCACCCAAATTGAGACTTCTCTAAAAGGGCCTGATTTTTGTAGGGCGGGTACTCAGCACTATCTGAGAATCAGGTCCCTTTAAATTGGGCAAGTTAGGTGCCAGTTTTGTCTTTAATCTCTCTATCCCTCAGCTTCCCCATCTGTAAAACGATGCCTTACCTGACCGCTCAATCCATGAATGTAGGCAGTCGCATTGAGAGCATCAGATGGCGCATGCTGTAGAAGTGCACAGTGTTCGGTTTAGGATAGAATTTGTGAATGGGTTTTAATTCAGATTGATTTTTCTGATTATTTGAAGTGACTTCTGTTATTGATGACGGATGCTAGATAATAGGTCTTACCACTGAAGTTCTCTATTTTAGATGACTTCTCCCCCCCCCCGCTTTCCAGTTTTAGGCAAAGTTCACATATTTTTAAGCAAGATGAATTCAGATTTAAATGTGAATGAATTTGCATTCAAATAGCAATCGGATCATAAACGCAGAATAAAGCCAGTCGACCTCCAAAGGCAGAGCGCTGTGTGACAGAAGGAAAAAGGTATGAATTCAGATAGTGTGAACCAGTGGATTCTAACCCGCCCCGGGGAGTTTGGCAGACAGTCACAAGGCTGACCTGGCCCTCCAACAAAGCCCCAAATCCCACAGCCCCCAAAGGTACTCAGCCATGGCCAGGTAGGCTGGGATGACCTGACCACCACAGACATGCTGTGGGGAGAAAAGGAGGCTAGAGGGGCCGCAGTAGTACTTAGCAAAGGGGTGTATCTGTATTCGGGTTATCATCATCGATGCCCAGTCTTTAGTTCCATTTCCCCATATGTTCTCTTACATCTCAGGTAAGTTCGGAGTTTCCTAGAGAGGCATTTCCGAGCCTGTGCCCAACTCTCCCCAAACTCTGTACCTTGTGTGCGCCTCTTTTCCGGCCCCTCTCTGGAGCTGTTTTTTTCCCTTGGTACTCCTTCAGCCTCCAGTTGTCTTGGGTGTTACACTCTCTCTCTGCCATCAATTGGGTCTGGCTTATATAAACCCCATGCCCCACCTATTCCCAGCAGCCTTTGAGAGGAGTGGTTGATTGGAGTCAGCTACTTGGGTGGGTTTTTTTTCTCCCCATGTGACAGTTCACTGTGTCACATATGGATACATTTCCAGGGAATTTAGTGGCACAGGAAAGCCTACAAGAGGTTTTTCTTTCCTAATTTGATTGTCTCACAAGTGAGTATTTGGAGGGTAGGGTGGTTTGCATGTATGTGGGGAAAGAGAAGGCAGTGCAGTCCGTGGGTAGAATTCATCCCTGCTGTAATTCCATTGACTTGAGCCAAGTTACACCAGAGAAGAACGTAGCCCTAGGTCCCCCAGTGATTAGATTTCTTCCAAAGGAAGGTCTCATTGCTGTTGCTGCTACTATCATCATCATCATCATCATCATAATCTGAAACTCATTTTCAAAGGAGAATGGGTTGGACAACAGCATCATACATTCACCTGCCTGCCTAAGTATAGTGTCCATGCATTGGAAAGCCTTTTAAAACACTCTAGAATGGGAGGCAGCCTGGGCTTGTAAGGCTTTGGACAGGAGCCAGGAGATTTAGGTTCTGTTCCCAGCTCTGTCACTCACCTGCTGTGTGACCTTGGGCCAGGCACCTCGCTCCCCTGTGCCCGTGTTTCCCTCACATGCTTTGGCTTCTTGCCAAATTCTCAGATTCTCTGACTCCGTTTGTACAGCCCCAGTTTCTGTTGGGGCACGTAGTTCCTACTGGAATACAAATAATAAAAATCAGGAGTAGTTGGCTGGGTTTTGTGGGAATGGGAGACTCTAGATACTCGTGCAATGAGGTTATCGTTTCATTCCCTTCTAACTGCAGCTGTCCCCACTTTGTACCAGTGCCTCTTGCTGTGTCACTGTGCATAGCCACCGCTGCTTTCTCCTGCATGGCTCTGGTGCCGCAGTGGCAAAGCTAGGTGACAAGAGAAACACTAACCTAATGCTGATGGTGTCTGTATCTCTGTTCTTGCAGGTGTTGGTGCTGCTGGAGACCCTGAGCTGGGGTCAGCGAGAAGATGACTGAGTATAAGCTGGTGGTGGTTGGAGCAGGTGGCGTTGGGAAGAGCGCTTTGACAATACAGCTCATTCAGAACCATTTTGTTGATGAATATGACCCCACGATAGAGGTGAGCAGCCTGCAGACTCTGAGATGGGAGTGAGTCTGTGAGTTTCGTATATGATCTTCAACTTTTTAACTTTGTGGTGGATTCCAGGGGCTGTTTGTTTAACCAGAGAATTCAGAGTTAAAACATGGAGAGATCAAATCTGAGAAGCCAAGCCAAAGACCTGAGCTACAACTCCAGTGTTGGCTCTAGCCCTGTGGTTCTGAACCTTTTCTTTACCAGGCTTTCCCAGCTAGGTGGGACACTTCTCCCAGTAAAAAGATGGGAAATGGTATTTGCAACCTGTGCCCCCCTGCAACTTCCCCGTTGAGAATTCACGCTTCAGCCATAGGAGGTGAGGTTTAGCTTTCCTAACATTTGATTGCTTGTGCTTCCAGTACACACATTCTCTTCTTGAAAGCACAGTTGAGCTCGAATGGGTAACGGCAGAGAAGAAACACAGGCCAGATCTGGTGGGAAAACTACCAGTTGGAAGTGTGTTTGGAAAGAATCCTCAATATGAGAGAGTGAAAATACAGGATCTTGTATCCATCCCAGGCTTCTGTAGCTGGTGGAAGGATCCGCTTCCTTAGTGTGGCTGGTGCTCCCTTAAAATCAAGAGTGCCCTTTTCTGGGGCTGGGCAGCTAATTCTCTGACTTTCCATCCTTGGGGAGCTGGGTTCAAATCTCGCTTTAGTCCCAAATGAAAATGCCTTGAGTTTGGTCTCAGCCTAAGCCCCCGGGGGATGTTCCTCCACTTCACAAAGCTACCACATGTTGCCACAGCACCCATAAGTGTGTCAGCGGATTGCAGTGACCTGACTTGGGGTGGGTGACTGTATCTGCTGAGGAGAGGCCCTGGGCTGGAATAGCGATAGGTGCTGCAGGTCAGGGTATTGGATGGGCTGAATAGCACTGGGGGTTGGGGGCTAGGATTGAGGTATGTTTGATGGAACTTCCGGGGGGGGGGAGCTTAAGGGGTTGGGTTTGTATGAGCTGCTTCAGATCAGGACTGAGGCGCAATTGAAGACTTGCGAACAGAAGGAAGTTTGCATAAGGTCTTTAATGTCTATTTGTGTCTGTCTTTACTCTGGATGGTGACTGACTCTGTTTCCTTTGGGAGGCAGATGTGACTCAGTGGACAGAACACTGAACTGGGACTCGAGATCTGGTTTCTGTTCCCAGTTCTGCCATTGGCCTGCTGGGTGACCAAAAAAGGCATAGAGGGGTAGAGACTTAGTTTCCCCTTCTGTAAAATGGGAACAGTGATACTGACTTCCTCTGTGAAGCGCTGTGAGATCTGCTGATGCAAAGTGCTATATGAGTGTTGTTACTGTATTGTCAAAAGAAAGGATTAACCCTTCTGAAGTGCTCAGATTGTGGTGAGGGATGTGGCATAATTTCCTGAACAGAACTGCTTTGCTTCCCTTTCAAATAATAAGGAGCTACTCTGCTTTCTTTAAAATTCAGCCCCCTGCCCTTGCTGCTACCACCAGTCCAGCTCACCAGAGGCAGCAATAGCGAGAGCACTAGTGTAGACAAAGTGCCGATAGGAGCAGCAGCAGCATAACCACTCTGTCACCTAACCTTGCTGAAAGTAGGTCTGTGCAACGTTGTGCTTGAAACGCTGGTGGACGCTGGGCCTGTCAGCTCTGTGGCTAAAAGGGTGCTAGCAATTAGCCCTAGGAATTCATAGCCCAGAAATGTATTGTGTTTCTCAGACAAGAACTCCCTGTCCTCACTGTTTGAGGAGTTTGTACTGGCACCCTGCTAGCAACAGATGTCTAAACACAGCTGTTTGCTAGTATCACTGTTATATGATGCCTTAAAGGCCCCACTTGGGATCAGAGCCCTGCTGTGTCAGGCGCTGTATATACACAGTCGTTGCCTTAAAGAGCTTGCAACCTATATAGACAAGCTGGAAATGTTATCTCTGTTTTACAGTCAGGGAGATGAGGCAGAGAGAGATTGTGACTTGTCCAAGGTTGCACAGGGAGTCTGTGGCAGACCCAGGGATTGAAGCCAGGTCTCCCGAGTTCCAGGCCTACACCTTAACCACAAAGCCCTCCCTCCTCCCTGTAGCTTCAGCCACCGTGTGGGCAGGATCTAGAACAGAGGTGGGCAAACTACGGCCCGCGGGACCATCCTGCCCAGCCCCCGAGCTCCTGGCCCGGGAGGCGAGCTCCCGGCCCCTCCCCTGCTGTTCCCCCAACCCTCACAGCCTCATCTCGCTCCGGCGCAATGCTCTGGACGTTGGGGCTGTGAGCTCCTGGGGCAGCGCAGCTGCAGAGCCCGGCCTGACCTGTACTGCGTGGTGGCGGTGGTAGCAGTGTGGCCCGGCTCCAGCCGGGCGGTGCGGCTGTAGCGCCGCCAGCCACTGGTGCTCCAGGCAGTGTGGTAAGGGGGCAGGGAGTAGGGGGGTTTGGATAGAGGGCAGGGGAGTTCGGGGTGGTGGTCAGGGGGCAGGGG